ATTTTATTTTATTTTTTGCAGATTGATATAGTAGACAGTGTTTTTAGCTTTATTTTAGTCCTGACAGTTTATAGATTCCCTGGGGATTTTTATCATGTCATCTGCAAATAGAGTTTTATATTTATATCCCATCTTTTTTTTGAGACAGAGCCTCACTATGTAGCTCAGACTGGCCTTAAACTCATTTTGTAGCCTAGGCTAGCCTCAGACTCACAGCATTCCTCCTGCCTCAGCCTCCCAAGCACTGGGATTACAGGCATGAGCCACCACACCCAGCATATCCATCCACTTTTGTTTTATTGCACACCATAGGACCTCAGGTACAATGAAGTAGAAGTAGTAAAAAAGACTATTCTTGCCTGCTTCCTAGTGTAAGATTGGGAGGTTAAGATATGGTGTCAGCTGTGAATTTGCATAGGTGCCTTTTATTTGGTGGAAGAAGTTACCTTACATTCTTAGTTTGCTGCAAAATTTTGTCCTGAATAGGTATTAAATTTTGTCCAGTTTTTTCCTGCATCTATTGAACTAGCAATAATGATTTTCTCTTTTATTTTGTTACATTAGGAACACATGTGAATGTGAATTACATTGGTTTTAAAATGTTAAACCAAACTGTCATAGTCAGGATAAGCCCCATTTGGTTATGATATATTATTATAATGTTTATGTATTGTTGGACTTAGTTTGCTATCTTTTGTAAAGATTTTTGTATTTTATTTGCAAGGATTATTAGTTTATGGGGTTTAAAAAAATTTCTTTGTCAAATTTTGGAATCAAGATCATTCTGTTATTATAAAATAAATTGGGAGGTAGGTAGTCTCATAGCTCACTCCTGTAATCACAGCTACTTAAGAAGCTGAGGCAAGAGGTTCACAGTCTGACGTTCGCTGTTATACACAGTTTCACTTGTGCCTTCTGTCCTGGGTAGAAACTTTGCCATATGTATTATATCTAGATATGTTATAAACCCAACACAGTGTCAGAATTTTTGCTTTAACTGGTCTTTTAAAGAACTCAAGGAAAGAAAGTAAATATATAAAGTTGCTTAAATTTTCCTAAAATTTATGATTTATGATGGTCTTCTTTTTCTTTTTTTTATTTTAAAGAGTAAAAGAAGGATAACATAGTAATAGGGGGGCTTACAGAATTACAGACAAAGTGGTAGGAAATTATCAATGGTTGTTGTTTCACATATTGTTATCTACAAGATAGTTTCTCAGGAAAACAAATAGACAAATAATAGTGAGTTACAGACAAAAGTGGTAGGTTGTTATCAATGATTGTTGTGTTATACTTTTATATCTTCAAAGTGGTTTCTAAAGGAAATAAATAGAGCAATACATGAGTGTATAGATACCACATTCCTCTTTCTTCACCTTGCCTACCCTCATCCCATTGATTGTTTGGGGTTAAACTTTAGTTTTCCTTTCTCTAGTCAGGAAAACTTTTATGGAAGAGGAAAAGCACTCTCACAGCTCATGGAAGGAGAATGTCCACAGCACATGTTCTCTCTTCTTCACTGTTTAATTCTTTCTCTAACAGGGAACAAAGACCTGCTTATTCCCACAGGATTCTCTTGGTGATACTCCTTTTCTCTAGGTCTTCAGGCCCTGTGAGACAGGAGCAAAGTTAAGAATAACCAGCCCCATTGAACTTTTATTTCTGAAACCCTATGAAGAGATGAAATTTATAAGCTAACACCAAGTAATTTGTTTCCAGAAAACTCGGAGAGAACTTTTGACACAGTGATGAGCTGCCCTTTAGTAAGTCTGTTTTCATGTGGCTAAATAAATAAAACATTTGCCCCCTGTGCTCTAGTATCTACCTGCAGGGTGGAAGACTCTGGCACTCAGGCTTCTAAAAGGGCCATAATCAGAAGAGAATTCCCTTTGCTTATGTTGTTAGGAGGTGATCTGGATATCAACTAAAACAGCAGACCATGCCAGTTTCTTTCATAATAGTTGTAAAAAGGGAACTGCTGAAGGTTAAAGTCAGGTAATAAGGAACTAAAGGCTTGAACTGATTGAATTTGAACAGAAAGAGATGCAAAAGTGTAAGAAGTATTGTTGCACCTGGGGTTTTGGTAGACAGATAGAGATGAAAAAAGGTTTTCTTTTTTTTTTTTTTTTATTTTTTTTTGACAGGATCTCACTATGAAGTTCAGGTTGAACTTGAACTCACTTTGTAGCCCAGGCTGGCTTGAATTCATAGCAATCCTCCTGCTTCAGCCTCCCGAGTGCTGGGATTATAAGAGTGTACCAACAAACCCAGCACAAAAGAAGGAATTTTAGAAACACCAACCTCAGAAACAGATGGGATAACCATATAATTGATAAAATCTCTATCTTGGTGGCCTCTGTCCCATGGTGTATGTGTTCAGTACCTGTGCGCTACTTTGCATCTTGAATGATCCCTGGGTCTCCACCCTGGGGCACCATAGAGGTGGTGGAGTCTTTAAGGGGGGCCCTGTGTAAGGGGCTGAGGTCATGGGGTGCATCTCTGAAGGGATGGTAGGACCTCCGCCCTTCCTCTTCCCCTTTTGATTCCCTGCCATTAGATGAGCGGTTTTGTTCCACCCCCATCCCCCATGATGTGCTGCCTCCAGCCAGAGACCTACAGTAACAGGTCATGGACCAGAACCTCTGAAACTGTGGTCCAGAGGAAACCTTTTCCTTTCCTAAGTTGAACGTCTCAGGTATTTGTTATAGGGTCAGAAAGATGACTGGCACAGCATAGCTTCTGATTTACTCAGTCACAGATATGGTTGTGTCAGTGTGTATTTTTCTAATAAAAACATTCTCTCTTTAAAGGAAACACTTTAGAGTGACCAGAAATGCAATACTGGTAAAATGTCATTGTTTCCAACAGTTCTGTCTAGATTAATCAAAATTGTTTAGTCTGCTTATGAACAGAAAAAAAAACTTTAAATACTTAAAAATTCTTTTTTTGGAGCAGGATGCTGGGAATCAAACTCAGGACCTCGCACTTGCTAGGTAGGACTGTGCCATTGAGCTCTATCCCCGGCCGGTGAAAGTTCTGATAGGCTTTTCAATTTTGTTTTCTCCAGGTTTCCTTGGCGTTTCTCCCTCCACAGTCCCTTTTTAGTCTCATGGTGCGGTGTGTTCTATGTAGTAGTACAGAGGGACACAACAGTAGAAGCTGAGATAAATTTTATTTTTTTGAAGAGAAGAGTGAGATTAAATTTTTATAAATATCTATAAATACAGAGTGATAGGCAAAAATTTTCCAAATAAATAAATAAATATTGCCACATGCCAAGGGACACAAGAAGTTGCAGGGGCTGCCTTAGCTCTACTAGGTATAGAGCTCTTGATGGTGGTGTTGTTGACTTTCTGAGATATCAAACAGTTTTTTACCAAAGTCTTTTTGGGATTTTCCATCTAGTTATCAGTAAGGTTGGGGCAGGGCTCCGGTAGCTAGTGTACAGAATAATATCCCCCAACAGGAAGCAAAAACCATTAAAAGAAACATTTATCATACAAGGCTGTAATTGCTATACATGGTTTTAGTGTTTCACAATAGGAACTGGTCCTTCAAGCTCCGTTTAAAATCATCAGGTAAAAACAGTCATCCAAAATTGTTCTTATAAGCAAAGACAGGGGTCAGTCTCTAGGTTTGGGCATAGGATGGCAGGGAAATAAAAAGGGGAAAGAAGTTGTACGAGTTAGGCTGGGGATGTAGCTCAGCGGTAGAGTGTTAGCCTAGTATGCACAAGGCTCTGAGTTCAATCCCTAATACCACACACACACACACACACACACATAAAGAAGTTGCGTGGGTGGACTTTTCTTATTAAGGGAGTCACTTTAGGAGGTCATTTAAATAGAGATAGGAGAATGGGGTCACTCGTAGGAAGAATCTGAGTGTGCAGCTAGGCTGAGATGAGGGCGGCCTCTCCCGCCAGCGCGCAAAGGGCGGCTGCGTTTTCCAGCAGTGGGGCTCTCGGACTGAGCGCTGTCTTCATTCAACGCCCAGAAATGTCCAAGTCCAACCAGACCCGGACAAGTCCCTTAATCCGACAGCCGTTTTGCTCTTGCACCTCTGGTTATTAAGCTTTCTCCTCCTCCCCGAGTTTTTGATTCCACTTTACTGAGAAAAAGGACACAACTTTTCAGTCCACAGAGAACCTCACCCAAAGCAGGCCCGGTGTCTCCAGGCCCCTTTCTGGCCACCTTCTGGAGCTCAGGCAGAAAGCCTGACTCCTTGGCAAGCAGAAACTTAATTAGTTGTCCCTAGGGGAGAGTAAATGCACTTTCACTTTGCAAAACAAATCCTAGCAGAGTAAATTTTCACGAACCTGTTCCTTGAGTCAAAGTCATTAGAGCCAAACATGGGGGGGAACCTAAGTTAGCCCCCACTTGGGAACGGTGAGGGTCACTGTGGGCTCTCTGGGGCTCTCTGAAGAAGGGGAAGAGAGAGGCAAAGGGTTCCACCCTCAGCGAGGCAGAACGTCCTGCTCTAGTCGGCCTCCTTGCCAGGTACTGGCCACCAGTCTTTTCCTTTCTTTTTTGATAATTCTGCCCCAGAGATGCTCAGGGCAGAAGACTTGGAAGGGGTGTTTCCATCCGTGTGCCCAGGCCAGCTTTAGCGTCCGCAGCCGAGGACCTAGCAGGGTGCAGAGCGTCCAGCACCACACCTGCGGGGCGTGGAAGAGCTGCCCGGACCCCCGGCACTAACGTGACCAAGAGGGAAGTCCCCTTCGGTCCCTGGTTCGCCTGTGGGTTCTAATTCGCAGAGGTGGGCACGGGCTGCGCGGCCCCCTACTTGGCCCCGAACCCCGGGCGGCACCGCTCGGCGCGCGCCCCGCCGTGCGCGTGCACCCTGGCGCCCCGCAGCACGCCCAGGGGGTCGCTGGCCGGGCCCGCGTCCTCGGCGCTGGGCAGCTCCTGCGAGCAGGATGCGCGCGCGGGCGCGGCGCGGGGCCGGGGCTTGAGCACGCTCAGCGGGTCGCGGCCCGGGTCCTCCTCGGCGCTGCGTGTGTGTCGCCGCGGCCCCGGCGTGACGAAGCGGGCCAGGGGCAGGTCGTTCCTGCGAGACAGGAACTGAGAGTAGGGCGGCGGGTTGGTGCCCGGCAGGAAGAACTTCTTGGTCCTGCCCAGGCTGACCAGAAAGTGGTGCTCGGGAGAGTGGTAGATGTCGTAGCCATTCTCCAGCGTGCGGTGTCGGAACCGGCAGTCCTGAGCGCTGAAGTAGTGCTGGGAAGAGAGCAGGGTGCAGGGGGTGAGCACGGCACGCGTGACCCTGCCCCAAGTCCTCTTGGCCAGTGCTGCCCGGCCTGAAGCCCGCGTGCTTAACAAATGCCCAGCTTGGGCCTGGGACTCCCACAGCACCCCAGTAGTGGATGTCCCTTCTAGGGAAAGTCAGGAGTGTGTTTCAGCTTTCGGGAGGCGACATCCACTGAAGCCTCAGGCTCTTGGCTGGAGACCTGGGATGGCACCTGGCTTGCAGGGCGAGGCCCTTGCAACAGGGGACGCGCCCAAGCCGGCTACTAGAGGCAGAGCTAGCTCACAAGCAGCATTGCCCACCCCCTCGCTACCTCCTTCAGCTCTCTTCAGGCTGAAAGCTGGCTTTTGTCTCTGCCTGGAGAGGGGGATGGAGTTCGTGGAGTCAGCTATCAGTGAGGGTCCCCGCAGCAGAGAGGTCGGGTAGTTTGGGGTGCAGGACACGAGCTCTCTAGCGGATGAGGTAGGTTTGAATCCTCACTCTTCTACTGGTCCTGCGTGCCTCAAGTACCTACTAGGGCTTTTACATAATTGTTCCATTTAATTCTCAAACTCCATCAATATTTTACAGATGAGGGCTGGCTGTTTGTCTAGATGCCTTCCGCAGTGATTTATCTTTGGCCAGATACTATTGCACTGCTGGGACATAGCAGTAATTGAAGCACAAAGTTTCTTTTCTCCAGAAATTTTTAGTGGGTATGTTTGGTGGTAAGAGACCCCTAGAACAACCAGTCCTTTTATTTGCCTATCTCAGAGTTCTCTGGATCATGCAGTAGGCTTCAGTTTGGGAAATGCTTTGACTACAGATCTGAAGGGCTGGCATCACCATCCGGGCAGAGGCAGTTAACTGAGGTCTTTATTAATTGGAGGAAGCATCAAGTCCTGTGCTTTATTTCACGTCACTGAAGTTTGAAGAAGTGAGATTTGCCCAGGCTCACAGCTGTTAACAGATCAAGAGGATACTAACGGCCCCTCACTCTTTCTAATGTACGCTGCAGCAAGAATTTGCATGATGTAAGGGCCTAGGACTGTGTACCTGGGCACTAGGTGCAAAACTGGGTACTAGTGGGCAGGGAAGACCGGCCCCCAGATTCCCTCGGTTCAAACGGCAGCTGCTTAAACTTGTGAATTCTACTCTTGGGCCAAATGAAACAGTCAGTGAAAACAGATCATTAAGGGACACCGCCAGTGGGAACTTTAGGCTAAAAAGTCTGCATCCTGTCAGAGAAATTAGATGATTGCAAATGGTGTCCCATACAAAAAGACACTCACAGATCCAAATATGTTGCCTCGGGAATCCATGCAGAGGAATCTCCTGCTCATCACCCCTGTTATCACCACGAAGCCAGCATCCTCTGATCTGATGGTCAGGGCACCTGCAGAGAACACCACTCAGGTCAAAGGTTTGACAAACATCTGAGTCCACAGCCAAGCTTTTCCGAGAGACCCGCCTCCACAAACCTCTTGGCAGTGAAGACTTCACCTGACACTCGCTTTCTGTTTGTCCCCTCATTTCCTGTGACCTCTACACCAACACACACACACACACACACACACACACACACACTTAGGTTCCTGTACCAGGCCTTCTGAACTGGAATTTTTTCATCTGTGCTTCAGATGTTTCTCTCCATCTGGACATTATTTCTTCCTTTGCCTGGCTAATAACTTTTTCTTCCCCCCCATAGTGAGGATCAAATCTAGGGCCTCAAGTGCTAGGCAAGTATCCTACCACTGAGCTACATTTCCACCATTTAAAAAAATATTACTTTAGTTTAATTTAATTTAATAATTCAATTTAATTTAATTTAATTTAGAGGTAGGGTCTCACCAAGTTCCCCAGGCTGGCCTGGAGCTTGTGATCCTCGTGCTTCAGCTTCCTGAGTCACTGGGATTACACCTATGTGGCACCCGCCTGACTTCTGGCTAATACCTCTTAATGTTTGCAGTGGTGTTCATGTACTTCAAAGCCTCATGCTTCTGTGATTTTAAAATCTGTGCTGAGGTATCTTTTGCAGTTCCAGCTTGTCTGGAGTCTGACTTTCCACGGAGACAGCTGTGTTGTATTAGAGCTGCTCTCTCTCTCTCCCCAGATGCAGGTATTACTCTCGGTAAAGACCTTCATCAACTCCCTAGCCAGAATTGGTTGCTTCTTCACAGCCCCTGAACACAATGCCTGCACCATTACTACAGCTTGTATTCCTTCCCTTGCTGGAGGGTTACATTTTTGTGCCTTCCCTGGCGGGAGCTATACACATCTTTCTATGTTGATGGATGGCATTTTCTCCTTGGATTCAAGTCTTTGTCTTTTGCTCAGTTGGAGCTGCCACTTCTAGATTCAGTCCCTGATAGTCTTTCAGTGTCCTCATTCAAAAACTCATCTCTGACAAGGGCCTGGAGCCCATGTGTAGACCTACATTATAAATAACAGGTAGTGGTGTAAGTGTGCTTTCTTTTTTTGTGGTAAGGGTACAATCAAACCACATGGTGGTGGAACGGGAATGATAATTAGTGAGACTTCTCCTCAAACCTGACATTTTTCTATCCAAAACCCTTTCTCAAGGTCACTGGGGTCACTTTGATCTGCTTACTGTTATGGTTTATATCTAAATGTCCCCATGAGCCTCATGAGCTCATAAGTAGGGCTTTGGGGAGGTGACTGGATCATGGGTATGTGATACTCATCACTGGATTATTCCACTGATGGGTTTATAGTTGGGTGTGATGTTGGGAGGTGAAGTCTGGTGGAAGGAGGTGGGCCACCAGGAGTGTGGCCTGAGGGTATATACCCCTCCTCACCCCTTGATCCCACTCTGCTTCCTGCCTGCCCTGCTGTGACTCATCTCATTTGATCTCACAGCCCCCAGGGAAGATGTCTGGGCAGTATTCTAACCTGGAGAGGCTGTAAATGCCCAGGCTGGCAGGTGGTGGAGCCCCGTGGGTGAATTAAAGCCCAAGGCTCTTCTCATCCCATGTAAGCTCACTATAAAGGACTCTGAGGGGAGGAAGTAGGCAAAGATGAGATATCAGTTGAGTATAGAGCGCCATATAGACCAAAGTAGGAATGATGTGGGACCGAGGGAATGGGCACAGAAAGAAGAGAGAAGACAGAATGGGTCAGAAAAATTAGTTTGTGTCAAAGTTTGGCTTGAGGGAATCTTCTGGAAAATAGGGTGAGGAAGGGAGGTATAGCAATTATTTACATTTTTTCCAAGATAATGTCTACTTATATGTCTCAAACATACGGCTAATTTTGTGGTAAACCCTGGTATATACATAAGCAGTATATAAAAATAGTTTGTGTTCTGATTACTTCTCAGTCCAACTGAGAAAAAATTACATTTAATAATGTAGCTGTTTTTGAGTTGTTGTGCTCTAAGTACTTTATAATTTTAAATTCTTGAAACAGCTGTCATTTTTGTTATATTATTAGTAGTATTTTAGTAGTAGTAGAAGCATTCCAACTTAAATGATAAGCAGAACTCAAACTCCAGCCAGAGACATCTTTCTCCTAGGACACTACAGGTTCTGCTCTGCAGAAATCAGTGCAAGTATGAAAGACAAAACCAAGGGCTGGAAAGGCACTGGGCAGAGGGCACTGCCTCTCGGTGGCCCTGTGGGTTGGGGGAAGGTCCTGAACCAGAAGCCAAGCAACAGAGGACAAGGATGCTGGTCCTAATTCTGCTACTTACACCTCATTTCATCAGGTAACATTGCTATAGCCTCTGTTTCCTCAGCCACAAGATGAGCATGACAATAGGTGTCCTGCCTTTCTCTTGGAGTCACCTTGAGGCAGGTAGCACAAGTCTTGCACAGGTGACTGGAGGACTGCGGCAGATGCTGGCCCATGGTCTGTGCCAAGCTCACAGCTGACCTTGGGCCAACTTGAAGCTTGGGGTCATTGTGGGCAGGGACTGTGGCTCTTGGTCTCCAGGGTCAGTCCCAGTGGCAACCAGACAGTAGAGGACAAGTGAGCAGCTGCAGTGGAATGGTGGGCAGTGCATGGGCTTTGAGTCAAACCAGCAGGAACCGCGGGAAAGGGTTTAGTTAAGTGTAAGGTTTCCTTGTGGTCAGAGCAAGCATAGATCCCAAGGGAGAATTTGGCAGAGGAGAGGAGAGCATCCCTGTGGCTGCTGGATCCTCCCACTCTACCTGTTGGAACTGGGCAGGCTTTGCAGGTGAGATTTCCTTCAGACCTGGAGCTGCTCATGCATGTGACCTTGGAGAAACATGAGATTTGGGGTCAAGACGTCCTCTGGGTCATTTGTACTCCTTGGGCAACCTTGAACCAGTTATTTACACTTTTTTTAACTTTGGTATTTTCATATGTAAAGCTAAAGCAGTAGAAACATTTACCGGAGAAGTTAATGAGATAATTTCATCCACTAGAAAGGGATGCTAGTTAGCTATTTACATGCTAGTAATTACAGTATTACCATTACCACTTCCCTTTAACTTCTACTGTAAAAAAAATTATCTGCTCTATTCTGGTCTTATTGCCAGTAAATGACAAATAAAATGGTAGAAGTAAAGGGCTTGGAATTCCTTAAAAGAAACTTTCTTATGAAATAGCATTGAAGAGCCAGAGGTAATTCAGCCTCAAGCAGAGAAAGTTCGAGGGTGGTGTGTGTGCACGAAAATAGGATCTAGGAAGTAATATCACCAAATGTGGGCTGGGGGTGGAGCTCAGTGGTAGACACTTGCGGGGGATACATGAGGTCCTGGTTTCAATTCTCAGCACTATAAAATAAAATAAAGGCACGTTAACCAGGGGTAGTAAACGTCTCTTTCCTCACATTTCTCCAAAGCCCAAAGTGAGGATAATGGGGAGTAGGAGGGTGTTTTTGTTCATGTAGGACAAGTGCATGGGTCCTGGAGAATCTCCTCCCAGCAGCCTCCTGAGTTCCAGGAGAGCTCGGAGAACCTCATAAGCAGAAAGTTTTCAGGGTATCCACTGTCAAGACCAATTACCAGAAAGAAGTTGGGTACTCAACTCTTAATCAAGAGTTTACTAAAAAACAAAATAACCACATGATTCAGATTTCATTGGAAATGTATGATTAACTAGGAGGAAAACCCCCACAAACCCGTATTTTCCCATCAGTGCAAGGGCATAGCTTTCCGTTCATCTGTAAGGCCATTACAAATCCTTCACCAGACTTAATTAGTTGTGCTGTCTACCTGAATCCATAGTTTCTCCTTTTCCTTCCTTCCTTTCTCCCTTCCCTCCTTCTTTCTTTCTTTCTTTCCTTCTTTCTTTCCACTTTTAACACAATAATAACTTTAACCCATATAGAAATGCACATGTTAACTGATTGAACAGTACCAAAGGTTTTATATGAACCAGGCAAAGCCTCCTCCATTACTCTGACCCTAGTTCTTCTCCCCAAGTTAGTGTTAATCTTCTCTGAAACACAATGCTTAGTACACACATCAGACGAAACAACTAGACACACACAGGCACACACACATATATACACACATGCATGTGCATACACACCCCAATCTAAGTTAGCTCAATCCATATCACATCCCTTTACTCATATTTACTCATTCCTAGTAACTAAGCTAGTATGGTGGATCCTCTGGGCCCGATGCCTGGTGGCTTCTGAGGGAAAGGGTCTACACTGTGGGCTGCGTGCTCAAGGGGCTGACTCGCACTCCTCCTCACCACTGCCAGCCTGAACTGCTCTTACTTCCTTTTCAGGAGGATGTAACTTTAGAGGGTTTCTTTCAGCAAGATTCCTTGATTCTAAACAAAATTTAGAGTTACTTTATTTCCTAGCTGTAGGCAGCCCTTTCAATCTATGGCAATCATAATAATTTACCCTAATGCACTGTCTCACATTTTAAATGACAGAGACTCTTGCAGTGAAAGTCAGGGCAGCTCTCTGTAGAGAAGGAAAATTATGTTTCCTAAAAATCTGATAATGAGCTGGGGAATAAGAAGGAGGGACAGATTCTGAGGTCTTTGAAGAACTGTGTCATCAAAATACAATCAAACACAATTAGCAGTACTCCAGATACACGAAGGGGATCCAGACTTATGTCAGATTTTTCTCTGTTAAACTCCTGCCTATCCTTCAGGGTGCATTGAATCCTGAGTCCTGCTTTGTCCCCTTGAGTTCATGTTTGGTATTTGAGGAGAGCTTTCCTCCTTCCTTTCAGCTTTTGTGAACCGGGCACTTAAAAACATTTAAACTGAGCTCTGCATGTGTAAATATCTGGTTGTCAGATTTCAGATTCCTTGCTTGCTAGTAGAATGAATATTTTTACACAATAGGACCAGAGTAAAAATAATCAATAATAATCACTTAATTTAGTACAACAACAAAGGGGAAATCATATTTCCTATAAGAAATTTTTCAGCTACTGAAAGATTGTGATTACTGTCCCTCTCCCTCAATCTGAACTGTATTCGATTAGCTCATATTTTTCTGTATCCTTAGAATAACTTTTACATGTCTTCCTAATATAGAAAACTCTGTCTTTTCAATTCCCTCTCCTCTCTTACCTCATCATTCTTTATGTAGGTGTACAGGAAGAGCCCTGACATAAATCTCAGCTAATGGATAGACTGTTGCATGTTATGATCCAACTTACCATAAAACTAGTCTTTAAAAGCGTCCCAGTTGTCTCACACTGCCAATATCTTTGCTACTAGATCAACTTCCTGCCCATGAGACAGCTTTTAGCTCCACAGAATGGAATCAGCAACTTAAAGTGCACATCCTTGCAAGAACCCAGCCAGCCTACTGGATGCCTGCATGGGTGCGTAGGTTGGGTACCTGGTCAGGTTTACTGAGACAACGGACCTGAGAGGTCTGTCTTTAATACATTTTTGGGGCACCTTTCTATAAGGCCAGAATACTGCAAGCTCAAGAGTTGGAAAGAACCCTTGAGTCCTATTCCAGTCCTTGGGACGGTAGAGAAATCTGTAGTTTCTTAACCTCATTCAAAGTTTATGAGCTCAAACTCAGCGCCTGTGGACCTACCTGGTTTCTTTTCCATTTAGATCTCCTAGTCTTTCTGGATTTTTTTTTCAAATCCTTGGACAGGAGTAAGGAAAAATGACTCCTATCTTGTGAAAAGAGTTTTGATAAACTCATTCATGTGGAGAGTCACCAGTAAATAGCAGTTAGAGGAGCGGCAGACTCTTCTCCTAAAGTTTACAGCACACACAGACACACATACACACACACACACACACATACACACACACAAGCACAATAAGTATTTTTCCTAGACAAGAAGCTAGAAGGCTTCCCCAGCTTCCATGCAAGCGGACACGGGTGCACCCCTCTGACCGGCCAGAAGCCCCTACTCACTGTAGATGGTTGGATAGGGTGCGCCATCCACGTGGCCGTCCTTGTGGATCTGCAGGTGGTAGCTGTTTCTGGCTGTGGCAGTGTACAGGTGGGTCAGACCGCCCCAGCTGGAGCTGAGCCATGGGGAGGCATCAGGATAGGCTCTGACCAGGCTCAGGGCACAGACCAGGAGCCCAAAGTAGGTCCCCAGCATCTCAACACACTCTGACTGACTGGGATTAAGTCTGAAACCTGACCCTCCTTCTTGGTCTCTTCCTCCTCTTCCTTGCAGGTAGCTGCGCTGAGGCTCCTAGGCTGGGTTCCCTCCTTTTCCCGCTCCAACTTTTAAAGGGTAACAGTGTGACATCAAACAGGAAAAACTTCACTATCCACATCCTCTGTGTTGTAATCAGCTGTGCGAAGAAAGTGCAGACTTCTGAGGCCCGCGGAAGGCACATGGGTTGGGACACACACACGCACACACACACCCCACTCAGTTTCAAGCCAGTGCTCCAAAAAGTGAATCATGTGTGGGTAAAAGTTATCTGTGACCCTAGGTTGTCTGTTGACCTGTCCCACTTCCACCAGGAAATGTGAAGGCAGCCAGCAGTCCGAAAAAGTCCAGCTTCAATCATACAGTCGCTGCCTCCTCCTTGGCAATCTAACTCCTGCCCATTCTGCTCATTGTGGTTTCTGAGATCTTTTTAACTCCTTGTCCAGAGACTGCACGGCACTGCCTCTGTTTGAGCACAGGTGGGTGACATCGTTAGGCAGATGGCATGTGTCAAGACCCCAATAACAGGGAAGATACACAAATTGCAAAACAGGGACAAGAAACCCTCAGCTGCCATGTGGGAAGATTTAGGAGTGGGAAAAAAGAAAAAAAAGCAAGGCCTTAAAGTGACTGAACATGACAAAGTTCTAATTTCTCACTTTGCCAGGTTTGGATGGCTAAGCACACATAAGCTGATCGTGACAGGTGTTCTAATAGGAAAGAGACTCACTTAAGGGTGCCTAGGACTGGGAAGGCTGCTGGCTGAGCAGACAGGTCAGAAGGCAGGAAACTTTCCTGGGTAGGGTGGTCCTCCAGGCATTCCCATAGTTTGATGGCTCTGCAACTGGGCACCTTGCACAGTTTGCTCCCAGGTATACCTTTTGGGAAGCCATATTTGCCATCTCTTACAGTCCAGTGGGGAGCAAGCAGCTGGAGAAATGCAGAAACACAGGCCAAGGAGCCTTCCGTCTTCTGAGTTCCCGTTTACCAAGAGAACACTGTAGACAGGCAGCAACTCTGGTGAAGCACTTGCCTAGCTTGTGCAAAGCACTGAATTCAATCCCCAGCAACACATACACAGACACAGACACACACACACACACACGTACACACATGCAAAGGAGAGAGAGACAGAGAGAGATGTGATTTATGCTTTAAAGAGCTCAAATCCAATGGAGGAGACAGATAAAAATAAGTAGGTATCATATAAAGCACATACCATCAAACAGATTCAGGCAGAGATGTCATTCCTAACTCTGCATGTGTGTAGCTTGTGAGTTTTATAGATTTACAGCATTTTCACATTTCTCAGCTCCTTTGAACATCACCACAAGTCTGTTAAATAGGTGTGCTGGGCCAGGGATATAACTCAGTGGCATAAGCACCTGCCTGGCAGGTGCAAGGTCCTGAGTTCAATTCCCAGTACCAAAAGAAAAATCAATTCAAATAGGTATGCTGGGCATTATTGAAAGTTTAATGCTATACATGGAGAAATGGAGATGTTAGGGTCCGTGTGTCCAAAGTCACAAAGCAAATGACTGGTAGAGCCAGAATGTGGCCTTCTGATTCCCCAGGCTGCTTCTCCACTAATAATCATAGTGGCAGCTAACACTCACTGAGAGCTTATTATTCCACTCACCATTCTACATGTTTCCTTGCAGTGACTCATTTAGTCTTTAGAGTAATCTTTTCAGGAGATGCTGGCATTCCCTTTATGCAATGATTTGAGGGACTTACTCAATTTTTTTTTTGTCTTTTTGAGACAGGGTCTCGCTATGAAGTTCAGGCTGTCCTTGAACTCACTTTGCAGTTCAGGCTGGCCTCAAACTTGCACTGATCCTCCTGCCTCAGCCTCTCAAGTGCTGAGATTACAGGCATGTGCCACCATACCCACCTGAGGGACTTATTCAAATACAGGTGCTAACGTGGAAGAGGATGGATTTGAATCAAGGGCTGACTGGGTCTCCCACACCCTGTGTAGGGTGTGCAAGTGCAGGCAGCATGTTTGACCTGGAGCTATGCAAGCTGGAGCTGTGCATGGGAGCCCTTAGGAAAAGGCAGAAGCACCAGTAGACAGATCACTTTCCTTAGCAAATCCAGGCCTCTGCCCTGGATGATTCTCAAGGACATGTGGGCTTGTCTCTCCAAGGTTAGGTAGATGATGCTGATATTTAAATATTTATGTGTAAAAGTCTTCTTTGGTCATGGCCATAGAATGGTTCATGAATGGTGTCCCTCATCTTGGCTAGTTGAAGGACTAGCTAGCTTTCAGAACTGAAGTGCAACTCATTCAGGAACATCTACCGATTGATAAAAATGCATTTCCTCCTCAGCTGCGAATGGCAGAGATGAGAAATACTTTGAATCAACTAGCAGCTGCTGAAAACCTTCTCTGGGTGAAAGATTGGAGAGAGTTAGTCTAATAACAAAAAGCAGGGTAAACTTAGCCTGTTGGGCTTTCAGTATCATTGAACTGAGGAAAGCTTCATTCACTACCAGTACTGTGTAAGAGCTAAATTACCAGATTGTGTAAGAAATGGTAACAACATTTACAAAAGAGAGACCACAGTGTGAGGACACTGTGGTCAAGGTGCTTGGAGGGAGGGGATGAGCTGATGGAGCTAGGTAGGAGGGGAAGGAAGACCTCCCCAGCCCCTGCTAAGCATGATGGGCAGGGGGTATGAGTGTCCTGGGGTGCATGCACCACCATGCACTCCGTTTCTGGAGGGGTTGGGGGGTTCCTTACTCCTTCAGCTAGGATTGTTAGGACAGAGAATTCACATATTGGCTCGCTCTATTTTCAGAGATTTCCCTCCAAAGGGAAGCTCTGGTCACTTAGTAGTTGGGTCTGAAGGCAGAGGAGAGTCCAGGGAAGTGGATTTATTTCTGAGGGGTCATGGGGGATAGAAAGAAGAAGCATTCCCCACTTGGCAATAGTAAAGGAAGAGTCAAGAATCTCAGAATAATTTTTGTTTGCAATCTTGATAGATGGAGAGTGAAGAGAAGGGCTTGCCCACTGGCACACAGAGATGGTAGAGATTCCAGCCCCTGGCTGAATGCCCTAGGGAACTCCAGACCTTGCTGCCCACTGGAATCACCTAAGGATCTTTAAACACTCTCCATCCCAAGGCTGACCTTAACATCAGTGAATCAGGAAGCCCAGCTATTTGGGAGACCCTGATACTCAAGTACTTATGAATAGACAGGCCTTCAGCCTCTACCATGCACTGGAATTAGAACACAGAGACCAAGGTCTCATCCACTGGCTGGAAATCCACCCAGATTTACAGCCTAGCTCCAAATTAAGGTGGGACTTCTTAGAGAACAACAGTAGTGAATGTCAAAGCAGTACTCTGCAGCCCAGGTAATCTTTTCCTCATGCCTGGCGGTGGCCTCTGCAGCTGTGGAGAGTGGGTGAGTGGAAGGAGAGGGGGTTCAGGGTCCTGGCCATTGTACCTGGAGGGCTCTCCTCTGTCACAGCTCAGGGCCCAGGACCTGGGCACCAGTGAGACCTTAGGTACCCGCAGGAACACACAGATGCCAGATGTGAACAGGGAGCCCAGGAAGGAGGCCAGTGCGTTTTGCTTTCTGAATGTCACTGTTGGGGAACTGGATGTGGCAGAGAGGCTGGTCCCATGGCAAGGGGTAATCTTTCCATCTCCAGCCTTCCCTGGGAGCCCCTGTTCGGCTTCAGGAGAATTTACTCTGGAAGCTGGGTGGAGGCCTCAGGTCCAGTCTCTGCACTTACACAACCAGTCTCTAAATAGGGATTAGAGACACAGGGCTATCCCATCCCACAGCTCATCACTTTCCTTCATCTCCTGACATATTTTTCTCAGAATCAACTCTAAGAAGATTTGGGGGAAGTTTAATTCCCCTGGATCATATTCTCTCAATGTAAGACTTAACAGTGATTTTCAATAATCAAATGGAAAAAAACATTGGCTGGACTATCATTATACTATGGTGGAAAAATTGGAGGAACCAAGGTGAAAGAAAATTGGGAGATAGAAGAGGAGGTGGTCTCAGGGGTTTCCCAGTCTTCTTTTATTTTTAATACTTTGCCCAAAGGCCTGTTCACCTGTGGTCGGACTTGATTTTCCCCCCACTTCTTAAGGCTTATCTCCTTCCACTCTATCTCCAGCATTCTGTAAGGGTTTCATGGGGACCTCTCTATCTTAGGGGATAACCTTGGCTGGTCCTCGTGTTCGGGGGAGAGGTATCAAAGGTTTTTCCTGATCTTTTCAATGTTCTCTGGGGAAGATGCCACAGCCTTCCTGAAATGCCTTTCCAGGGTCTCATCATCTCAGTTGTTAAAACATACTTTTGGGGCTGGAGATGTAGCTAAGCAGTAGAGTGCTTGCTTTGTTTGCAACACCCTGGGTTCTGTTTCCAGCTCTGCAATAAACAAGCAAACAAAAACATACCCGGGAAAACAAAACAAAAGTACTTCTTTATGTCCAAGCAGATTCTCTCTTGCTTGAATGTGTCTACTCAACATGTACTCATTGAAAGCCTATTACTTTGTAGAAAATCCTTAGAGAAACCGATGATCGGAAAAGTACAGTCCTAAGCTGCGAGATGCATGCAGTGTACTGGGAAGAATGCATTTCGTATGTGTCTGCCCCATCTCATTTTGCATGTGTGTTCACATCCATCATTTGTTGTTGGTGCTCAAAACAGTGCTGAGAACTGAGGTGTGAGCGGTTTGGGATGACTTTCCCAGGAGCAGCGTAGCTCCTGATACACAATCCTGTGTGGTAGCATTTTATACAAAAGGGAGGCAAAGGGCATCATTTTAAACCTGTATTTATTGAAAAGCAAATCAATGTGGAAATATGAAAAAGACAATGACCATCTGCTATAGAGGTAAGATGTTACCAAAGGTAAAATAGTATTGGTTTGGGAACACACACAAGTTCATGCACGCACACACATATACTTTGAAAGTAAACAATGAGTGCATCCTATATTTAGGATAATCACACTTTGTCCATGCCCAAGTCCACTCTGACCACCCTTCCAGGTTAGTTTGTATGTCTGTATCTCTTCTATTTGATACTTCAATACCATTCCATCTTATCCCACTTGAGAAGGCTCTTCTTCTGGAAGCCTTATTTCCTCTCCTCCTGAGACTTTTGTGATGATTCCCAAGGTGAATG